TTTCACATAACTAGAAAACACAATGCTAAAATTCATATGGAACCAAAAAAGATCCAGAATAGTCAAAGCAGTCCTAAGCAAAAGGAACAAACTCAAGGCACTACACCACCTGACTTCAAAATATATTACAAGGCTGTACTAACCCAAACAACATGATATTGGTAGAAAAATAGACACACAGAACAAAGGAAAAGAATAGAGAACCCAGGAATGAATCCACATATTTACAGCTAACTGATCTTCAACAAAGCCATCAAGAACATACACTGGGGAAAGGACAGTCTCTCCAGTAAACGATGCTCAGAAAACTGGATATCCCCATGCAGAAGAATGAAACTAGACCCCTATTTCTCCCCTTTATTAGGCTGTTCTTGTGTTGTGATAAAAAAAAAAAAAACAAACCTAAGACTGGGTAATTTATAAGAAAAGAGATTTAATTGACTCACAGTTCTGCAGGCTGTACAGGAAGCCTGGCAGCATCTGCTTCTGGGGAGGCCTCAGGGAGCTTTTACTCATGGTGGAAGGCAAAGCAGGAACAGGCGCTTCATATGGCAAAAGCAGGAACGAGAGAGAGGGTGGGGGAGGTGCTATACTTTTAAACAACCATATCTTGTAAGAACTCAGTCTATCAAGAGAACAGCACTAAGGGGATGGTTCTAAGCCATTCCAGAGAAATCTATCCCCATTATCCAATAACCTCCCACCAGGCCCCACCTCCATCATTGGGGATTGCAATTCAACATGAGATTTGGATGGGAACACATATTCACACTGCATCATCACTATCTACCAAAATCAACTCAAAATGGATTAAAGACTTAAGCATACTGAAACTGGACTCCTTCCTTACACCTGCATAGTATTCCATGGTGTATATTTACCACATTTTCTTTATCCAGTCTACCACTGATGGGCATTTAGATTGATTCCATGTCTTTGCTACGTGCATAGTGCTGCAGTGAACATACGTTTGCAGGTATCTTTATGGTAGAATGATTTATATTCCTTTGAGTATATACCCAATAATGGGATTGCTGAGTCAAATGGTACTTCTGTGTTGAGTTCTTTGAGAAATCACCAAATTGCTTTCCACAGTGGCTGAACTAATTTACATTCCCACCAGCAGTGGATAAGCATTCCCCTTTTCTCCACAATGTTGCCAGCATCTATTAGTTTTTGACTTTTTAATAAGTCATTCTGACTGGTGTGAGATGGTATTTCATTGTGGTTTTGATTTGCATTTATCTAATGATTAGTGATGAGCATTTTTTCATACACTTGTTGGCCATGCGTATATCTTCTTTTGATAATGTCTGTTTATGCCTTTGCCCACTTTTTAATGGCGTCAAGTTCCTTATAGATCCTGGATATTAGACCTTTGTTGGATGCAGAGTTTGCAAATATTTTCTCCCATTTTGTAGGTTGTCTATTTACTCTCTTGATAGTTTCATTTGCTGTGCAGAAGCTCTTTTGTTTAATTAGGTCCCATTTGTCAATTTTTGTTTTTGTTGCAATTGCTTTTGGCATCTTAGTCATGAAATCTTTGCCAGGGTCCATGTTCAGAATGGTATTTTGTTGGTTTTCTCCTAGAGTTTTCATAGTTGTAGGTCTTACATTTAAGTGTTTAGTCCATCTTGATTTTTGTATATGGTATAAGGAAGGAGTTCAGTTTCAGTCTTCTGAATATGGCGGGCCAGTTGTCCCAGCACCATTTATTGAATAAAACAGTCCTTTCCCCATTGCTTGTTTTTGTCAACTTTGTCGAAGATCAGATGGTTGTAGGTGTGCAAGCTTTATTTCTGGGCTCTCTATTCTATTCCATTGGTCTATGTGTCTGTTAAGTTTGTTTCCGGAAGATTTTAGAGGGCCAAAGCGGCAGCTTAGTATTCCTAGTTTTCCTGCTCTAACTCTTAAGGGTGCTGGTACCAAGCCCCCAGCTTTATTCTCTAGTCTCAGGAGCTTAGGAACTGGCTGCACTGGAGGGGCCCGGTGTTCCTGCTCTGCTGGCCACAGCATTCTGATGGGGAGTGCTGGCCAGTGCCTTTCCTCAGGCAGTGGCATAGCATAGCAGGATCTATGCTAGCTTGAGTGTGGATCCTGGTGTGGTGGTGGGGCAGGGTGGCCAGTTGCTGGTGGGAGTGAGGCACTGGATTCTGTACACACCCTCATGCAGGCCACATTGGCAGGGCAGAGTGCCGCACATTAGTGGTGGCAGGGTGTGCTCACGGCAGCAGTGGTGAAGAGGCAGGGTACATGTACACACATATGCCAGTGGGAGAGAGGAAGTATGGTCACCCATGCTTGCGGGCCAGCAAAGCAGTGGAGAGGACCTTGGGCGAGTACATGACGGCAAAGTGAGGTGGGGAAGGCTATAGGGGAGTGGAGGCTGTAGGTAGGCAGATGCGCATCCATGGTGGCTGGTCAGTGGGAGCTCTCTGATGGTGAGGCATGGTCTGCTGGTGAAGGAGCTATGAGAAGGGCCCCAAGGAAGCACCCTGGTTGGGCATGTGAGGCTGTGGGCAAGTGAGCAAGTGGGCACGCCAGGCTGGGGCCCCAGGAGAGGCTGGCAGATGAGGACACTCAGATCAAACTGGGCACATCCCCATGGACGAGACTGCCCTACTCTGTCCAGGTCCTACAGTTACCCAAAGGCTAAAGCCACCTAGAAGAGTATGGTGAGCCTTGGAGGATGGGCATCACTGTCCATCCTGCTCCACCTGTATTTCAAACTATTTTGTCTTTCAGCAGATTTTTTAACTTAAATGTATGACATGTTATTTTTTTCCAGAAAATAATTTAAGTTTAAATCTTTTTTCAAGTTGAAATAATAGGACTTGTGAGAAGCGCTGGAAATGTTTTTATAGCACTATAAAATGTATTTCTTGATTATGAATTTGTTTCAGCCTGGAAAAGATTCTGAACATAGAGATACACATTTTCAGTTAAACTCTCATTATCTAAAAGTCAAGATTCCATCTTCCCACTATAGGTCTGCTTTTGAAAGCAATGCAGGTAGAACCATTTAGTTCTGACTCAGTCCCCAAAACCTGCATTGATAAGAACTAGTCTTATATTAACTAATATTTTTTGAAAAGACTATAAATATGTACTGATTGGGAATATTTAGAAATATATACATACATATATATATATATATAAACAAATCTAGGAAAAATGTAGGGAAGCTATATACTTATAGCTACATACAAGCTGATGTTTTAAAATTGGACTGATAGTTGACAATTACATCAAATGAGACCCCTGGGAAGCAGATATTCAGACAGTATAAAGAGTTCAAACATCAGGGGGTAATGACTAAGAAAGGAAGGCAGGGAAGAAGCAGGATTATGCAAGGATAGCCTCAGTCTTCAATGCAGATCTGACAGAAGCTCTCAACAATGGGGAGTTCTGGAGCAAAGATTGTCTATTACGAAAGTCTTGTGTTGGGCTATTATGCCCAGATATTGGCTGGGGGCTGCTTAAAAAGATGGTGGCCTCAGCATGAAAGCTGAAGCATATTCTAAAGATGTTGTAGTTGGGGGCTATCAGCTAACTACACTCCTTGCACTGGAACAGCTGGTTCTTTGAAGAAACCTGAGCAGAGGACCTTCAGGACTGCCACAATGATGATGATAATAGTTATCATTGAGTAGCTCCTACTCTCCAGACACCATAGATTCTCTTTACATATATTATTTGTAACCCTTGCATCACAGTCCCTAGATATACAATAACCTTCATTGTTCAAATGAGAAAATTAAATATAACTAGTAAGTTAGAGGCTGATGTGTTCAGTTTATTGTAAATATGCCCATAAACATTTCTGACAAAAATTTTCCTAATAAACTATTCCAGATTATGTCTTGTACCAACAATCAGTTTAAGAGCTTTTAAGCCAGAAGGGACATGGTTGCTTCATGGAGTCTAAAGGCTGAAAAGGCAACTGATTTCTGGAAATAAAGCTGCCTGTCTCTGTTTGATTGTCTATCACTCTTACTTTCTACTCTACCTTTCTACCCATTTCTTTGCTTTTGCTATCCTAGATGTTCTCTCTCTCTCAGTCTTAAGCTCTGTCTCTTTTCCTTGGTCTCTCTTACTTTCTCTCTCTCTCTCTCTCTCTCTCTCAATCTCTGTTCACAATCTGTGTTGTCTCTGTCTTCTCTTTCTCTTTTTTCCTCTCTCCTTCTCTTTGTCTTCCTCTTTTTCTCTCCTTCTCTGTCTTTTGCTTTTCATTCTTCCTCTCCTACCTCCTCTCCTCTTCTCTACCTCTTCCTTCATCTCCTCTCCATTCCCCTCTTCTCTCTTCCTTCATCTCTCTCTTTTGGCCGTCCCTTCCTCGATTTCTGTTACTTTCTTTAGGTCTTGTATCTTGTCTGTTTCCTGACTCCGTCTTTCACTCTTTCTTGCTTTGTCTACCTGTCTGTCTGCCTCTTTGTATCTTCAAGAAGTAAAAAATGAGCCTACATCCTACTTTATAATTTCTTTAACTTTGATGTTCCATAAATGAAAGTATCTATATACATTTAAAGTTATATTTAAACCAATTATCCTTGCTACATATATTTTCACAGCTTCAGAAATAACTTATAATCTCTTTCCACAAAAAGTACAATAATATACTAAGAATTAAATGCTGAAAGTAAAATACCTTTCTTAGCAGTTAACAAAGATAACTGAAGCACCATTTCCTAACTCAACACTCTAATTAGCTTTTCTTTCTAAATTAATAGTAATTTCAACCAAAGTATTCCTTTCAACAAAGGTATTCTCATATAGTTGCTATGCCATATAGAGTTTTCTTGGACGTTGTTTGATCTAGCTCAAGTGAGAAAATTCTTTAGTTTCCTGTGACGTGGTTTAAAATTTAATGAACAGATTAAGGATTTTCTTAGTATCGTATATTATGATCTAGTCAACTAACTTTAAATTGTAGTTTTACTATACTAAAATATTTTATTTCTTTCTGCTGTTCAATCCCTATTTTATAAAAACATTTATAGAAAGCAAATTCCAGTACTCCTGGTAAGAAAAACAGAGGCCTTTTAACAAGTACTCCATCTTCAGAGACAGCTGGTTTTGTGGTAAGTATTAGCATTTGACACTTGTAGTATCTGTTTTCTGGCTCCTCCTCTCCCCATTCTTCTATTTTTCTTATATCAGGGGAATATTGCCTATGGAGAATAATATCTGTGTTTTCCTGTTGCTTAAGCACACTTTCAATGGAAGTACTCTATATAGTGCTAAGAGAAGGAAAAACTAGAGTACTGCAGCAACAACCAGGATTCTTACTTTTTTCCCTTCAGTTTTAAAAATTGTGGTGAAATGTATATAACATAAAATTTATAAGTTTAACCATTTTTAAGTGTACAGTTGAAGTATATTCATTCACATCATTATGCAACCATCACCACTATTCATCTCTAGAACTTTTTTCATCTTGCAAAACTGAAATTCCATATGCATTAAACAGTAACTTCCTGCTCCTCCCTACCCTAGCCCCTGGAAACCACCATTTTACTTTGTGTTTCTATTAATTTGACTACTCTAGTTACCTCATATAAGTGGAACCATACAGTATTTGTCCTTTGTGACTAGTTTATGTCACTTAGCATGGCATCTTCAGATTCATCTATATTACAGCATGCATCAGAATTTTATTTTTAAGGATGAACTGATACTCCATTGTATGAATATGAAACATTTTGTTTATCCATTCATCTGTTGATGGACAATAGGGTTGCTTCTGCCTTTTGACAATTGCGAATAACGCTGCTATGAACATGGGTGTACAAATATATGTTTGAGTCTCTGCTTTCAATTCTTTTGAGTATGTATCTAGAAATGGAATTGCTAGAGCATATGGTAATTCTATTTTTAACTTTTTGAGGAACCACCACACTGTTTTCCATAGTAGCTGTACCATTTTACATTCCCACTAGCAAAATGCACAAGGGCTCCAGTTTATCTACTTCCTTACCAGTGCTTGTTATTTTCTTTTTTGTAATAGTCGTTGTTATGGATGTGAGGTGATATCTCATTGTGGTTTCGATTTGTATTTCCCTAATAAGGATGACATTGAGCATCTTTTAATGTGTTAATTAGCTATTCATATATCTTCTTTGGGAAAATATATATTCAAGTCCTTTGTTTATTTTTGAATTTTTAATTGCTGAGTCGTAGGAGTTTCTTATATATCTGGGATATTAACCCATTACCCAACATATGATTTACAAATAATTTGCCCCCTTCCATGGGTTGCCTTTTCACTCTGTTGATAGCATCCTTTGATGCACAAATGTTTTTTATTTTGTCATAGTAAAATTTATTTTTCTTTTCTCATCTGTTCTTTTGGTGTCATATCCAAGAAATCATTATCAAATCCAATCTTATCAAGTCTTCAGTCAAACATCCAATGTTCCTCTTCAGTGTGAGCAATCCTCACAGAGGTCCATGCAGCAGCTTACATGGCAGTGTGGGGACTGCTCAGGCACAAGGAGATGAAATCCAGTATTTTTTGTAACAACACTTAGGCATAACATCCATGGTCTCCACAAAGGCCATGTGTAATTACAATGTCCCTGCACTCAGGGAAACCCAAAGTATTTTATGTAGGGCAGTATTTATTTATTTATAGTGCATTTATAGTTTTTCCTAGAGATACAATTTTCCAATCAGACATTATTTTTACCATAAGCAACATTGCCTAGTAACACAGCTGACATTCTTACACTTATCAGGTTCCTAGGGAAAAGGAGTTACAGATTTAACCAAGAGATGCTCATGATGGAAGAAACGGTTTTGTTAATACTCTGCTAACAGTCTTTCCAGTGGCCCCAAAATCAATACTTTTTCCAGAAAATGAGTGTCTCATTTTTTATTCATTCTTGGTTGATATTTGGAGTTAAAATGTATTGATGAATAACAAATGTATCAAAATGATTTTTTCATGGCAAAACTAATTTAGTGACTATTTTACAAGTATCAACATATTTTTAAAATTGAGGTACAATTTACATTTTATAAAACTCAGTTTACTAAAGTGTATAATTCAGTGGTTTTTAGTGTACTTACAAATTGTGCAACTATCATCACAATCCTATTTAAGAACATTTTCATCACCCCATTCATTTATAGTCAGTCCTCATACCCCCATCCCACCCTCCAGTCCCAAGAAACTACTGATTTAGTTTCTGTCTCTGTAGGTTTGCTCTTTCTGAGTATTTCATATAAATGAGATCATATAACGTGGCGTTTTGTGCCTGGCTTCTTTCACTTAGCATAATGTTTTAAAAATTCATCCATATTATAGCAGGTATCGGTACTGCATTCCTTTTTTATGACCAATGTATTAGTCTGTTTCCACACTGCTATAAAGACATACCCAAGACTGGGTAATTTATAAAGAAAAGAGGTTTAATTGGCTCACAGTTCTGCATGGCTGGGGAGGCCTCAGGAAACTTACAATCATGGTGGAAGGGGAAGAGGCACGTGGCAACAGGTGAGAGAGAGCATGGAAGAGCAGGGAAAACTACCTTATAAAACCATCAGATCTCGGGAGAACTCACTATCATCAGAACAGTATGGGGAAAACCACCCTCATGATTCAATCACCTCCCACCGGGTCCCTCACTCGACCTGTGGGGATTATGGGGATTACAATTCAAGATGACATTTGGGTGGAGACACAGCCAAACCATATCAACTGAATTATATTCCATTATATAGATATACCATATTTTGTTTATCAATTCAGTTTATGGGCATTTATTTCCATTTATTATCTATTATGAATAATACTGTTATGAACATTTGTTGACAAGTTTTTGTTAAACGTGTTTTCAGTTGTCTTAACTATATACAGTCATCCCTCAGTATCCATGGGGAATTGGTTCCAGGACTTCTCAAAGATACCAAAATATGTGGATGCTAAAGTTCCTAATATAAAATGGCATAGTATTGTTTTTTTGTGTATAAACTATGTGCATCCTGCACACCTTAAATCATCTCTAAATCAATCAGTCATCTTTTTGGAAATTTTTAATTTGGTACAGAAATATGTGGTGATTTCAGTAACCTGATAGAAAAATGGATATGGCAGTTAGGACACAGTTCTATGTTAGAGACAGTGATTTAAAAATCTCTGGTGTTCAAATGGTAGGCATGAAGATAAGAGAATAATGCTGGGAAGTTTACATTTAAAGGAAGGGCAGGGGAAGTTATTATAGGAGGTATGGTTGCTGAGTACATAAATTTCATTTAGTAGGCATTTGATAAATGTTTGGATGACTGAATAGAAAAAATGTATCATAGCAAACAAAAATTCCTAATTAAAAAATAACTTTAAAGTCAAAGAATGTTATAACCCATTTTACAGATTGATTTGTCTCTAAACATGCATCTTTTGAAGAGTTATTTCCAAATGTCAGTAATTACATGTATTCAGATGAAATTGTTCCTGTGTCAAGTTTACAGGAAAATGCTTCCAATGAGATGGTATTTTTCAACTTTTCTTTAATTACTTAAAAATCATTGCTTTTGCAATGTTTAACTCCTACAAAAGAATAATGTGTTCTTTTATAGATTGATTTGTCCTCAGTGCAAAAAGCATCTTTTGAAGAACTATTTCCAAATGTCAGCAATTATGTTAATTCAAATGAAATTGTTCCTGTGTCAAGTTTGCAGGAAAATTCTTCAAATGAGGTAGTATTTTCCATTTTTCCTTCAATTACTAAAGGAAATAATTACTGTTACATTAGATACTTTGTATATGAGGTGCTTTAAGAAATCTCTTAACATATCAGAAACATAATTTGCAAATATTTTCTCCTATTCTGCGGGTTGCCTTTTTACACTTTGGTTAGGGTCTTTGATGCACAAAATTTTATATTTTTTATGAAGTACAATTTGTCTATTTTTTCTTTTGTTGCCTATTCCTTTGGTGTCCTGTGCAAGAAATCATAGCCAAATCAAATGTCTGAAGCTTTTTGCCTTTCCTTTCCTTTCCTTTCCTTTTTTCTTTCTTCCTTCCCTTCCTTCCCTTTCTTTCTTCTTTTCTTTCTTTCTTTGACAGAGTCTCACTCTGTCCTCCATGCTGGAGTGCCAGGGTGCAATCAAGGCTCACAGACTCACTATAGGCTTGACTTCTAGGGTTTAGGTGATTCTCCCACCTCAGCCTCTCGAGTAGCTAGGACTGCAGGTGTACACCACGATGTCCAGCTAATTTTTTGTATTTTTTGTAGAGACAAGGTTTTGTTATGGTGCTCAGGCTATTGCCCTGTATTTTCTTCAAATGTTTTTTTTTTGTTTTAGGTCTTGCATTTAGGTCATTGATCCATTTTGAGTTAATTTTTGTGTATGGTATTAGGTAAGGGTCCAGCTTCATTCTTTTCAATGTAGATATCCAGTTTTCTCAGCATCATTTGTTGAAGAGACCATCCATTCCCCCATTGAATGGTCTGGCCCCCTTGCCAAAAATGATTTAAGCATATATTTGAGGGTTTATCCCTGGGTTGTCTATTCCATTGATCTATATGTCTATCTTTATGTTAGTACCACATGGCTTTGATTACTGTAGCTTTGTACATTTTGAAATCAAGAAGTGTGAGTCCTCCAACTTTGTTCTTCTTTTAAATTATTGCTTTTACTATTCAGGATCCCTTGAGATTCCATGTGAATTTTAAAATGGGTTTTTCTGTTTCTGCAAAACACATCATTGGGCTTTTGATAGAGATTGAATGGAATCTGTAGATCACCCTAGGTAGTAATGGCATCTTAACAGTATTACATCTTCCAATCCATAAACATGGGATGTGTTTTCATTTATTTATGTTTTCTTTAATTTATTTCACCAATGTTTTGTAGTTTTCATTGTGTAGGTCTTTAACTTATTTGGTTAATTCCTAAATATTCTTTTGGATGCTATTATGAATTGAATTGTAATTTCTTTTCTAATTGCTTATTGTTAGTGTGTAGAAGTTCACCTGATTTTTGTGTGTTGACTAGTGTCCTGTTAATTTGCTGAATTTATTTATTCTAATAATTTTTAATTCAATCTTCAGGGTTTTTCACAATGATACCATGTTATCTGTGAACAGAGATAATTTTACTTCTTGCTTTACAATTTGGATGCCTTTTATTTCTTTTCCTTGCATAATTGCTCTGGCTAGAACTATCAGTAGTATGTTGAAAATGCAGACATCCTTGCCTTTTTCTTCATCTTGGAGGAAAAGCTTTCTGTCTTTCACCATTGAATGTGATGTTTACTGTGAATTTTCATATATGGCCGTATTAGTTCATTTTCACATTGCTATAAAGAAATACCTGAGACTGGGTAATTTATAAAGAAAAGAGGTTTCTTTATATAAAGAAAAGAGGTTGCTTATGGCTCCTCAAGCTGTATAGGAAGCATGATTCTGGCACCTGCTTCTGGAGAGGCCTCAAAAAGCTTCTAATTATGGTGAAAGGCAAAAGGGGAGCAAGGCATCTTACATGGCCAGAGCAGGAGGAAGAGAGAAAATGAGGAGGTGCCATACACTTTTAAACAAGATCTCACAATAACTCTCTCACTAGAACAGCAAAAAGGGCATGGTGCTAAACAATTGAGGACCAACCCCATGAAGTACCACTCCCTTGATCCAGTCACCTCCCACAAGGGCCCACCTCCAACACTGGGGATTACAATTTAACATGAGATTTGGGCAGGGACACAAATCCAAACCATATCAATGACTTTTATTTTGTTGAAGTAGTTTCCTTCAATTCCTAGTTTATTGTTTTTTATCACAAAATGGTACTGAATTTTGTCAAATGCTTTTTTGGCATCAATGTAGAAGATCACATGTTTTTTCCTTTCATTCTACTATATGTGATATATGACAGTGATTGATTTAAGTCTTGCCAAATTAAGCAGAAACATTGATTGATTTTTGTATGTTGAACCATCCTTGCATTCCAGGAATAAAACCCATTTAGTTGTGGGCTATCATCCTTTTAATATGCTGCTGAATTTGGTTTACTAGTAATTTGTTGAGGATTTTTGCTTCAATGTTCATAATGGATATTGGCCTGTAGTTTTCTTTTCTTGTAGTGTCCAGAAAAGACACTTTGTTTGACTTTGGGTAATGTTTGTCTCAAAGAATGAGTTATGAATCATTCCTTTCTCTTCTTGGAAAGTTAGAGAAGTATTGGTATTAGTTCTTTAAATGTTTGGTAGAATTCACTAGGGAAGCCAACAGAATCGGGGCTTTTCCTTGTTGGGAGTTTTTTCATTAGTGATTCAGTCTCCCTACTAGTTCTATAGGTATATTCCAGTTTTCTATTTCTGCGTGATTTAGTATTGAGATGCTTTGTGTTTATAGGTATTTGTTTATTTCATCTAGGTTATGAAATTTGTTGCTATGCAATTGTTCATAATACTCTCTTTGTAATTCTTTTTTTGGTAGAATTGGTAGTAATGTCACCACTTTCATTTCCAACTTTAGTAATTTAAGTCTTCTTTCCCTTTTTATTAGTATTTTTTCATTAAAGGTTTGTCAGTTTTGTTGCTGTTTTCAAAGAACCAATTTTTGGTTTGATTGATTTTCTTTATGTTTTTTTCTATTCTCTATTTTGTTTATGTCTGCTCTAATCTTTATTATTTCCATCCTTCTGCTAGGTTTAGCAGAAGGTTTAGTTTGGGTTTAGATTGTTCTTCTTTTCTAGTTCCTTAAGTTGTAAAGTTAGGTTGTTGATTTCAGATATTTCTTGTTTTTCAATTTAAGCATTTATAGCCATAAATTTCCCTCTTAGCACTGCTTTGGCTAAATTCCATAAGTTTGGATATGTTGTGTTTTTGTTTTCATTTGTCTCTAAGTATTTTCTAATTTCCCTTGTGATTTCTACTTTGGCCCATTGGTGTTTAAGAGCATGTTGTTTAATTTTCACAGTTTGTTGAATTTTTCAGTTTTACAAACTCTGTTTTTTTATGACTTCATTATATTTTGGTCAGACAAAATACTTTGTATGATATCTATCTTTTAAAATATATTGAGACTTAATTTATGGCCTGATATATGGTCTATCCTGTAAAATATCCCATGTGCACTTGAGAAGTATATATATGCTGTTATTTGAAAGATTGTTCTGTATATATGTTACATGTAATTGATTTATTGTATTAAGTCCTCTATTTTCTTATTCTCTTCTTTCTGGTTATTCTATCAATTATTGAGAGGGAGGTATTAAAGTCTTCAACTATTATTGTAGAACTGTCTATTTTTCCCTTCAGTTCTGTCAGTTTTTACTTCATATATTTTGATGGTCTGTCATTCAGTGTATAAATGCTTATAATTGTTATATGTTTTTGTTATCTTGAGTCTTTTATTAATATATAATGTTCATCTTTGTCTCTTATAACCTTTTGATTGAAACTTTATCTGATATTATGATAGCTGCCCCTGCTCTCTTTTTTTTACTATTTACATGGAGTAGCTTTTCCTATTCTTTCACTTTCAATTTATTTATATCTTTGAATCTAAAGTGAGTCTCTTATAAACAACATATAGCATATGCTTTTTATCTATTTTGCCAATCCCAATTTTTCTATAGGAGAATTTAATTCATTTATTTAAAATACTTACTGATAAGGACAAACTTATTTTTGTCATTTTGCTCATTGTTTCCTATATGCCTTTATATTTTTTTGTCCTTCACTTTCTACATTACTGTCTTCTTTTGTGGTTAATTGATTTTTTTGTAGTGAAATATTTGAATTTATTTCTTATTTCTTTTTGTGTATATTCTATAGCTATTTTCTTTGTTGTTACCAGAGGGATTACCTTTAGCAGTCTAAAGTTATGGTACTCTAATTTGAATGTATTTAGCAGTCTAGAGTTATGATACTCTAATTAGAATTTATGGTTGACTTCAATGACATACAAAAACTTTGCCCCTTTACATCTCTGCCCCCACCCCTTTCAGATGATGATGTTAACATTTTTATACATCATGTCCGTTAAAACATAAATTAATATTTTTTTTGAGATGGAAACTCACTCTATTACCCAGGCCGGAGTGCAGTGGCACGATCAGGATTCACTGCAACCTCCACCTCCCAGGCTCAAGCAATCCTCCCAGTTTGGCTTCCTGAGTAGGTGGGACTACAGGCATGCACCACCATGTCCAGCTAATTTTTGTATTTTTTTGTAGAGACAGGGTTTTGTCATGTTTGTCAGGCTGGCCTCCAACTCCTGGGCTTAAGCAGTCTGCCTGCAGCTGAGATTACAGGTGTCAGTGACCATGCCCAGCCAATAATACTTTTAAACACTTTAGTCTTTTAAATTATGAAAATAAAAATGTGAGTTACAAATCAATGTTACAATAATACTAGCTTTTATGCCAATAATTATTTTTAAAATTTATTAGTCTCTTAAATGATATAGAAAACAAGAAGTAGAGTTATAAATTGTTGTTGTAATAATAATAGCTTTTATAATTGCCCCTTCTATTTGCCTTTATTTAGATCTTCATTTCTTCATACAGCTTCAAGGTACTGTCTAGTGTCCTTTCATTTCACGTTATAGGACTCCCTTAAGCATTTCTTGCAGGGCAAATCTAGTGGTAACTACTTCCCTCAGCTTTGTTTATCTGGGAATGTCTTAATTTCTCCCTCATTTTTGAAGGACCGTTTTACTGGATGTAGGATATTTGGTTCACAGATATTT